ACAGAAGTCTTGTGAGTTTGACAAATGATGAAACAAATTACGAACACTCATCGTTAGCTGCTACTTCGTACTTAGTGAAATCTTCTCGTTTTTGATGATGTTGTATAACATCATGTCGATGAAGAAAGAATCAAACAAAATCAGTATGACCGAAGTATGAGGCTGCATGCAAGGCTATACTTCGATTTAATTCAAGATGATTGATATTGGTGAAGAGCATAATCGATAAGAGAATATTTTAAACTCCTTTAAGACTGAAAAGTCCAAAAACTGCTGATTTTGTTTTTAAAAACATTCTATCTTATTAGAAGATTTACAAGTTTCAAATAATAGTCAGTTTTCAAACAGATATTTAATGTTTTTTCAAAATATCTATCGCTTTGTCAAAGCATTTTCTGGATGAAATTTGCTAGTGGAAGTAAAATATTTGACATGAGCTAATGCAAAATATTGTGCTCTATGCTTGTGTGCTCTTTTCTATTTTTTCTTCTTATCCTATAGTTTACGAGAAATAGACTTTAAGCTAGCAGATGATAATGTTTTCGTGGAATTAAATTTTTTTTGCAAAACTCATATCTAGCTGTAAAACGTTTATTTGCACGTCTATACATAAAGCATTGAATTCAGAACAAAACGCTGTCTTTTAAATTTAACAATAAAAAGTGTAAGTTTTTACGATCTGAAAGATATTGATGTAAACATTCTGTCAGAAAAGTGATTTTGTTCTCTATTCTCATACTTTTTAAATCGCAAAAAAGTTTGTCGGCATTTTCCGAATTTTTGTTTATTGTGATTTACATATTGGATATTGTCAATCTGTTTGATTTTTCAATGAGAATATACAGAATGAATCATAAATAGCACTAAGATAGAGTATGCATCTTCTGTTAATCGACACCCACAAAAATTCAGAATCACACTCTCTCTCTTCGGCTGACTTTTTTAAATAAAACAAAGAAAGAAAGACAAGGTTATTTTTTTCAATTATAAAATTTCTTCATTTTGTTCAATGATATAAATATGTGTAACATGTTTGTAACGAATCAGTTATTTCTTTTGTTGAAACAGACAATATTATTATGGTTAGAAATAGTTCATAGTCTTGACAATAAGTCGCTTTGTAAAAAGAATATGTATAATTTAGATTATTTGGAAATATATTGAAGATGGAATAGATTTTGATCCGGAAAATTCAATAGGGATTCTTGAAACATTTCTGTCAAACATATAACTCATGTAACAATTGGATTTATGATTGTCATGAATTTCGATAAACAACAAATTGAGTTTACAAATGTCATTTATTTTACTAATTTAATAATATTTATTTTCGGAGTAAATCTTTTAAACGATAGGTATGTTTGTGCTTGACTTAAATCACTCTATGTGAAAGACAAATACTAAACAGAGACCTTTTTGTTATTTAAAGAAATTTATCAACAAGAAATTTTTGTTTTAATAATTTAGACATTGACAATTATATCTTCACATTGAATACAAAAAAATCGGAAGTATATTTCGATAAAATGCCCAACCAGGATTACTTTTTTTCTCGTGATCTGAGTCGAGTTGAAATAGTGTTTTTGTGTGTTCGGAGGCTAAAATCGTGCCTATGGATATCAACAAACAAAAGATGTTATGATATCAATAGAATTCTGTTCTCAATCTGCCAAAATAAGGATGAAAATTAATTGTTCCGACTGAAAGAATGAAATTTCTTGAACCGGACAGTCTTTATTTTGAGATACAATTTTATGTTTGTGGGAGATCGAATATTTTATACTACTCAACGAGTCATTTTTAATAACTAAGATCCCCTCTTACATTGTAGACAAGTCTGATGAAAACTGAGTGTATCGCCATGAATTACATAAGATGAATTTAGTTCCTCTGTTCATCATGTCAAACAGGAATGTAATTGACAGGTTGTTCAATAGAAATTTTTAACATGAATGTGTTGATCATTAAGGCGTTTCCAGTCTTATATTTTCATTTCGTTTTTTAAAGGAAATGGTCGATCTTTAGCTAATGAATCATACTAAGCAATGTTTTAAAAAGCTTCCAATATAATCCTTAAGGAATTCAAATGTGACAAACGATGGCACGGTCTTACATGAATATGAAATTGCTTATTATTTACATCGTGACCCCTCACGAGGTCAAGAGAGTATCAATTTCAAAGTGTTTGCGATAATCTTTTATAGGTACTAATCGAACAGAGTGTGAGTATGGGTATGGATCTTCTCTTCATCGATGTCACACCCGCATCCCATACCCACATAAACCCACCCACATGCACACCTACACCTCACTCTTGCTGTCGTAAATTGTGAATTACAATGTATCATTTTTAGTCTTGATGAATCCTTGACATTTAGAGTCCATTAAGTTTTCATTCTATTGACTTGCACACTATTTATTTCCATCAACTTGACTGATTGCAAACTGAGTTAACACAACCTGACTCCCCGTCGCTCTATCGTTAGTAGAATGAGCAGTGCCACCATATGATTTAAGTGTGATCTTGTCTATGTCTTTCCAATGAAGGAGAATAAGTTCTGGTTTACCAAAGAGAAGTGTTGTTGTATTCCTGTTCACTTCTATGAAATTTCGATATCCCGTGATGATTAAATGTAGATCATCGTTCCAAGCAGCACACGCAGTGACAGAAACAAAATTAATTGTTTTTTTAGGATTTTCCACACCAATCGATCCAAAATCCTTGAAAAATGCTATGTTTCGACTACCTCCAGCTATGAAGGAAGTGGCATATCCACTTTTAGGACACTTTATCTTCCAAAATAATTCGTTTCCATATCCAATATTAGTCCATTTAAATCCACTGTAAATATTTGGAATCAATTGCGATCGATCAGCACCAATGGGTAAATCATCAAATGTGATTCTCATTTTTGTTGTCGATGGATCTAAATTCATGATTGTCTCATAGACTTTACTGAACATCGAATCTAGTTATTCACTTACTCAATATGCGCATTTCATTCAATTGGAGATTGAGTTGGTTTATTTCACGTTTATTCTCTTTAGATTCCTCTCGAAATTGACGAAGTTGTTCTCTCAAACAGATAACTTCTGTATGTTGTCTATCAGCATTACCTCTTTTGTATACGAGTGCACAATCTTGACAAGTTAATTCAATTGATGCACAGTTATTTTGATGATTATCAAAATCTTTTTTCAATATTTGTGATTGACAACCAGGACATAAGTGAGACTGGAAGCTACATTCGATCTCATGTTTATCTAATCCTTCATATGAAATGACCTATGAAAAGAAATAAAATTACAGAGTTGATCATATGTTCAACTGTTGAATACTTCGTTGCAACCAGTAGATTCATAGAAACAAACAATTTTTAATTCAGCAAGTAGTTTAGCAACAACTGGAGGACATTTTCGTTCAATGTATGTTTTGCATCGATTTGGACAGTTCTTTGGATGGTTGACTAGCCATTGATGAATGCATGTGGAACAGAAAGGTGTTTCACATGATTGGCAGGCAACTGGTTTCCAGAGTAATTCGTGACAAATAGGACATTTGAGATGATCAACATTGAATCCAATTGGACCACGAATACGATCAAAAGATAAGCCATTTTTTTGTATAGATGTCATCTAAACAAAACAAAAAGCAAATCATCAATATTAATAACCTTTCACGAATGAATTACGAATGATGTTCTGTTTATGTTTATTCTAATGCAATGCTAAATTTTAATGAATTTGTCGAGTTCGATGTTGATTTACTTTGTTATAGATCAGGAGCGTAGCATTTATAACAACATTATATGAAGTTAAGAAAAAAAGGAATTTTCCGTTCGTTTTTGTTTGCAATGACTCAAGTACAAGTAAAGAAGAAAGGCAACATTGGAATATTTCATTCGAAATTCGCTATGAGAGTATGACGATCAAAAATACATGTGCAATGTGCTAATTCTCTCGCTTGTTGCTTGTTCTCTATTTAAAGTGTTTTTTATGACGAAAGCATTTGCGTCACTAGTCAACAATCAAACTATGCTAGAAAGACAAAGAAAATGTTCGTGGCAAAGCAAGAATTTCGATTGTAATCATTGAAGTTATTTTGCAGTTGTGCAGAACAAATTCATTACGTCGTTATTGTTCAATTTAGTAGTCAATACAATGTTGTAAATTAATGACGATGAATGTTTTTTTTATAAATTAAGATTTCTTCGAAGTTCCGAAATTTCTTTCGTCAACAATTCAACTGTTCGAGTTTGATGAGATTGAGCTTGACTAGAAAAGTAAGCTCGAAATTAAGTTCGGTTTTGGCACATGTCTACTAATATTTAAAAAAATAATTATCTTAGTTTATTTCAATCCTAAGAAACTTATGATAGAATTCTCGAAATCCAAGGGGAAAACGACTGATTGTGATGATTTAATTGACTTTTAAATCGTTAAAATCATCGAAGTCATTTAAATCACTAAAGCAAGTGCATATTTTTTTATCGCATTTTGAAAATCCTCTATAACAACCATGTAAAAAAAAGAGAAGAAAAATCTGATTTTAATTTATTCCTACCTTTTAATCGATTTTAATCGTTAATATAGAAGATAAGCACTTTTCTCGAGATTTGAACGTAAAACTCTCTTTGGCAAGAATAGTACAGTTGGAACTTCTATATAAATTGTTTAAAATTGAGATGGTAAAATTAAAATAGAAATTTATTAAATTGACAATACAATTTAATCTAGTTATGTCCCGAAAATAAGATTAGATTTGATAGTATTGGATAAAGTTTGCCAATGCGAATATTTGTCACGGTAAATCAGATTAAAACCAATTTGGATTACATTTTTGAAACATATTGAGACCTGATTTTTCAGTCTGCAGCAAAAATATTTCATGTCAATTTATTCTTCTTCTAATTAATTTTATTAAAAAAAAAACAATGTCTCAATACACATTCACCGGTTTGAAAAAAAATCAATTGCAATCAACATTTTAGATTTCATACAGGTAAATCGATTTTAATATATTCCGCAAGAGCGAATTTACTTTAACAGATTAAATATGAAAGCAAGTGTAATCTATTGGATTATAAATCTCTTATATTTTAGAGAAAAAAATCGATTTATATCTATAGCAGCAGAACCAAAATAAAACTGTATCACTCCCACATTCCAGTCTGAAAAAGATGATGCTTTTGGCTAAAATTGAAAAGCTTTTCTTTTTTCAATGTCACCAACAATATACACGGATTTTTTTTACTGATATCTACTTGCGTTTCTCGAATTACTATGAACATCAGCTCATGCAAAGCTTTGATTATTGCTTTTTAATCATTTGTTTCATACTTTTTTGAAATGAAGAATTATTGGTGCTTTTATTCACAGTAAGTGGTTCATAACGTTTCGAAAACTTGAATAATCATGGAAACAAATGATTTAGACAATTTTCTATTTCATTTTGATAGCACAATCGACTATCTTGCCTTTCTTTTCGTAAGAGACCATAAAAACAAGTGTTTATGAAATTGCCGTTAACGCTTTAAATGGTCTGAAAAAAAAATCGGTGCATATTGTAAGTAACATAAGAAAATGTCTAATTTTTCAATTGTAGCCAAAAGTGTTACATTTTTCCGACTGTTGATGAAATTAGTACTTACGAAACAAAGCTTTCTAATCTTCTATTTCAAACAGAAATAAATGCGGAAACTTCGGATTTAAATCCGAGAGTTATGTGTACTTCAAAAAGTGAATCATACAAATCAAACATCCTAGACTATCTGA